AATCATTGTCATTAGACATTATATGTAAAGAATTACTTCAAAAACGAATTAAACACTTTCTTACAAATATTTTAATTTTAGTAAAAATATTATTTATTCTATTTATAAGTAAAAATAAATAAATAATTTGTTTGACTATAATGTTTAGACTATTTCTTATTTATTTTATTTAAAATCATTACATTTATCATGATTAAAATTTAATTGGTTATTTATGTAAATCAGATCAACAAACCGCAGTTCAACCATGGTTTCAACCATATTGGTTCAACCACAGTTGGTTTGGTTCAGCCTCAACCGCGGTTCAACCATGGTTGAGTCAGCTGTTTAACATCCCTAATTATTCCTATTCCAGTACTATTTTGGTTCAGTAATCATAATGATATGAACTAGGCAAACACTGGAGGAAGAAGGCATCTTTCTTTTGCTGCATAATAAAAGTAAAGTATTATTTAAATATTTAATTAAATATTAACTTTAAAAACCCACCCTTAGCAGCAGCCAATCTTTCTGTGATTTTATCAGCTTCACTCAATGTAGAGTTGGAATTAGTTCCATTAAAAGGTTTTTGTGTTTTTTATTCCTTGATGAAATTCTTTGACTAGGTGCTATGTATAAAAAATTTGAATAGAAATATTAAAAACCTTAATTTTCTTTAGGTATTTTTTTTTTCAATGAGCTTTGAAGCCTTAAAATTTACATTTCATATATAATAATAATAAATTAAATTACTTGCAATGTATCAGTGTGGCCTTTGCACAAGAAAATTCTCCCAAAAATCAGATTTGGCATAACATTATAACATTTTTTACCCCTTAAACTTAAAACAATTACATATACATATGCATGCAGCCCAAAGTATTTTGACACTGTCATAAAGGGGGTTACACATGTAGTAAAGGGGTGTTACACTTATGTTTTTAATAGTGAATGCTGTAATTAATTTCTACTTTCTACCATCAAAATCACTAAACCAATTTGGGCCGCATGTATACATATACACCATTATTCATGAAAAGTATTATGGAAAGAAATTGAAGACTTAGATAACTTGTTAAATGAAAACACCAAAACTCAAAACAATGAAGTATCAACTAAAAATATTTCTTATCAAATATTTTAGTTAAAAGTTTCAAGCAAGAAAATAAATCAATTCATTTGCTAGATGATAATGTTTCTATTCAACAAATATTCAAACAAAGTGAGATTGAAAAAAGTTATATAATAATGTTACTCAGAAAATCCTTCAGTGACTAATGAATAAGTTACCAGAGCATCCCATGACACATTAATTTTTTGGGTAGCAAGAGATAATCAACTGGATTCATGATTTTATAAAGTTATTTAAATGATTTTCATCTAGTAGTCTTAGTTCACCAAAACTTCACATGTGGAGATTATCAATACCATTTGGCATTATGGTGCATTAAATGGATTAAGGATACCAGCTGCAACTTTTGATGATGGTTGCTACCACCTTTGCATCATATAAAAATGATTGCAATGCTGGTTGCAACCATCCCTATAGAAAATTTATGTACGGAATATGTACGGAATATGTGCGGAACTGCGGATGTGTACATATTCCGTACATAAATTTTCTATAGGGCATCTTTACAACCATTTTGTTCCTTTTTTGGATTGCAACATGGAACACTAAAATGGATTAACAACTGAAACCTATGAAGCATTGCACAAAAATTAGGTCAAAAATCCATATAGGCATCAGGAAATTTTCCCTGCCATAATATTATGTCCATAAATTTTAATATGTAAAGTTGTAATATTTACACTCAATGTAATAATTATATAATATTATGGGCCCACTGTAAATTTACGTAAATAATGTAATAATTATGTAAATCTGCATCAGAAAAAAATTTCCTGATGGTCTTATCAAATGGTGAAATTGTATATGCTACTAGCAGATTTCATGGTAGGGCAAGATTTGGTGATGTTGCAATTGCAATGGATGATGTTGATTATTTAACTGATAATGGATTATCTTATGGAAAGGCAAGCTATATAGAACTTCATATTTTTTTAATTTATTAATATATATTGTACTCATTAATTACATTTAATAATTTGCAGATAAATATATTAGCTGAAATTTCATTTTCATTTAATCATTCTGTCTTGCATGTTGTATAAGTATGTTGGTATGATTATTGTTCTAAAAGACATCCTCTAAAATATGGATGACCTCATATGAAATTAGTAAATCATTATGATGTAATTCCATTTAATTCTGTTCAGGATTAGTACATATGGTAGAGAGATTTGATTTTAAGGATGAATTCTTTGCAAATAAATTTCCTTTTTAATTAAAATAATAAATAAATTTTAAAAAATACTTGTTATATTTATTTTATTGATATTGATTGAGTTATGTAAGATTCCTTGAGGATCTTTGTAAATTTTATATTAAAGGATCCATGAAATTTAAGGTATCTCTCATCTGGTCCAGCTTGTAGATTATCAGCGAGTTCAATTTAGAACAATGTGTTCAGTTAATGGAGTCATACTCTACTTGATTATCTCTACCAATATTCACAATAGTAATTATATATAACACTATTTTTCATGATCATGTGTTGGTTATTCTTTATATGTTTTTATCCTTAATTTGTCTGAGATCTCAACTAGAAATTTCAGGGTTCTTGTAAAATGTGTAAACTGTAGAATTTTTTTGGAGGTTCAATAATTTTTATTTATTCCTTACTCCTATATATTATGATTCATTTATTTAAACACGTTTTGTGAAAATCGATTGGATTCATTTATAATCACATGACCATGTCACCAATCCAAGCACATTAAACTTTTGAAACAAATGAGGATGATTTTTGTTGGCTAGTGGTTATGGCTAGCCTCAATATAGGGAGACTAAATTGGTGTTTAGGGGGTTTTTTATTGTAAATAAAAATTTAGTGGTAATAACACCACCACCAAAAAAAAAGGATGATAATGATACCAATTTTTCCGATTGAATAAAGAAAATCTGTCAAAAGGAATGAGAATAGGGGGAGGAAAAAGTAGTCTTTGAAAGTTACTCTATTATTGGTTCATCATTCCACCAAATCCTGAATATCTGGAAGATTGAACATTTGTCGATATATAATATGGAAAACGCAGTAGTAGGATTGGTTTTTTTAGGGTTACATATGGTGAATCCATCCTGTAAAAAATGTATAGCAGAATATTGTAACATAAAAATCATAACTATTCTGTTCTTTGTCTAATGCGGTTAGGAAAAAGAATTTTCTTTATTAGAATTAATAGAAGAAATTTGCCACTAATATCTTGCATAAGATGTATAATGCAATTATTCTATTAAACATCATCCTAAATCTAAACAGTGTCTGAAACAGAATGAGGTGCAAAATTTGATTTAAAAGCTTATGAATAAAATTGTCACAAAAAAATCAATTAAACTGTTCTATGTCTGCTGTCAACTCAAAATGCTCCTTCATCACCCCAATACTGCACTTGACCTTTCTAATTCTCATTTCCTGCACTGCCAGACTCTCCAAACAAGCATCTTCTATACAATGTTTCTCAATTAAAGATTGATAAAGTAGTCTCTGTGGTGTGCAGAGGAACTCAGCAAGGATCCAGTTGATGTATACACCCGACCATGAATTTCGTAAAGAATAAAGACATACACAGGAGAAAATCAATAGTGGAAATATGATAATGATGACATAGAGCAAGACGGCTGGAAGTGGAACAATGGTTTGGTCCTTAATCACTTCAAGCGTATAATCATATCCGTTTCCATTTTCTTCTACCGCACTATTAAATGAAGAGACAGTTGCATGAGCCCATTGTAGTGCAAATTCATTGGCAAATAATTTGCTATCTCCTTTGCTAGCTATATAATCGGTATCATCTACAGCTCGAAGAAACATTCCTCTAGTTGATGCTCGAGAAAGAACCACAAGTTGTGGGTTTGTCAGATTTCCCAGCGGTTTTGCTTTTAGTGATCCAAGGGTGATTACATATTCAGTTGTTGAGACAAGAATTTGGCAGTGTAGTAGGATTGAAAGGTCACCATGTACTTCAGTCACAAACTCAGAATCGTAAGTTGCTGAAATATCTTTAGGATAGCGTATAGTGACAATTGCATGTATTGGATTAGATGCTATGTATTTTCCCGCTGCTAAGTCATAATTATTAGTAGTAACATTTACAACTGATAGTTCCGTTACTGTGTTCCCTGAGGCGGACCATAGTGTTTCAGGGCAGGTATAATCAGTTCTGGAGCCATATCTGGCTTTTAAATTACAAATGCTACTGATGGGCTCACAAGAAGGTTGTAAAAATAGACCAGACCCCGAGTATGCATAGGCTTGTTCCGGAGGTGGGGACTGCAAAAGGTAAACGCCTCCATCACTACGCCAAACTCGTAAGGTATCGCTCATATTTTGGTATATTTCCAATGCTCTAATGTGATTCGATGTGGTTCTTTTATTTTGTCCACAAGAATTGATATCAGTTTCAGAACAATCATTTGCTATGTCTATTGACCTTGTACTTGGAATAATTAATCCAGGCAGTTGTTGGGTACTTCCGATAGCAGTAACATGGACGTACAAATCAGCTGCTGATGCTGCATATTGCCATATCAATACTGAAGCAACAATGATAGCGGGTTTACGAGTTTGGCCAGAATTGAAACAGGCTTTTATGGTGCTTAATAGACCACGTGACATAGACGCTTCCATTAATTGACTGATTGTTGTGCCTGAACCATTTAGAGAGAGTGTTTTGCTAAAGGCAAATATTCCTGCTAAAATAGCCGGCACCATGAACCCTACAACAACAGACGTTATTTTTGTGATTACTGTTATTACCGTTAAATATAAACCGATACGTAAATCCCATATAACATTAAAGTCAGTCATATGGCACCACATTCCTGCAAAAATCGCAGATATTAATGTCGAGATGAAAACAATCCAACCGAGAACGACACCTTGGAATATTGTTGAACGGAAGTAGTTTGTTAGCAATTTCATTCTCGATAGATTCTCATTGGTTTTCTTATGCAAATGCTCTTGTGTGTTGACCTGTGATTCCATAACTTTTTTTGAGAATATGTAATTGAAGGAATTGAAGGAATTAATACAGTTAACGAACTCAAATATTTATATGAAAATTTATGTCATACGTTTTACAAATTTTACAAATGAACACAATATCAAATGTTACAATAACAAAATATTTTTGGATTGTGGAATCCATATGTATCAACAAAATTATATTTGAATGTTTATTTTTATTTTAACAAGATGGTTATAATATAATAATCAGCGAAAAGAAGGAGAATGTACAATCTGCGTGATTTTTACGATTTGTGAATATTCATAACTCTATAAAAATTTATGCGGGAATGTATTAGTTAGTATTAGTATGATAATGAGAATAATAAGTATTGACCCAGGAGGAACCACAGGATTATATTTCACTGATGGAGAACAAGAGGAATTTATAAGTGTTAAAATGTACAGAAGGCATGTACGGAATTTGTCCTAATTATAATACTAATACCAAGTATAATAATAAGAGAATGTTTATTATGTACGGAGATGTACAAAAAGTACAATTTCTATTATTGACATATTCGGAATCTCACAATTAGAATATTAATATTAATACAGAATATCAATATGTGGATACTGGACTACGCCTTCCGTACATATTCCTACTACTACAGTTGTTTTCCGTATAAAATTTGTAAATATAATACTTTCAAATATTCATAACTTTCAATCCTTAGTTTTCTTTTTTGATAAAATTTTTTTAAATGCCTTCAGATAATAGTGATAATAATAATACTACTATATATTGACATGATGAGACAAATTCGAATCTTTCATTAAAATCATATCCACATAGTGAGTAAACATCAAGGACTAAAGATAGTTTTATTTAGAATATTTTAATGATGATGAAAATGGAACATATCGGATTTGTCAAGTAAAATTATCAATTTCTTTAGACCGTCCAGAGGGTGCATGAAAGCAGCTACTACTAATTCAATTAATTATTTAGTTGATAGTTCTGTTAATAAAATTTGAAGCTTAGGAGTTAAAACATTCAACTAATTATTAAAATATAAGACACAAAATACCTTTATGCCATGGGTATTAATCGCCATAAAGTATTTGGAAAAATTGTTGATATTTGAAACTTTACTATTACAAACACTACAAATATTCGAAAATTTGCTTAAATTCGAATATAATTTGAATACTATTACTATGTCCAGCAATTTTTGAATATTCGAATATGGGACAAAAATTACGAATAGTACTTATTTTATTTTTAATAATAATGTTTAATAATTTGGAATAATAAAGAATCGGTCAACTAACCCACATTTATCAATAAGCATGATTATAGTATAATATCAGTATGATACGTCAGATTCAAAGACGTTAATCAAGTAAATTTAAAAAAATTATACCCCGAGTGCAGCTTCAGTTTTCAAAACACTATTAAAGCAGAAACAACAAGTTTCACTAGGCGTAATTAAAGCTATTGATTTACATATTAACATTTGTTCGTTATATAATAATAAGGTGAAGAATGTCAATTTTAAGCAAATTGTTTAATATTAAAATCATAATTTGTACTAATATTTTTTTTTTTTTGGTTTCTGAATTTTTTTGTTATGTGATAAACAAAATTTTCCTGGGTCACATAATTTTCTTTAACTAGCTCAATTTATTATTTAAATTTCAAATAACAATGTTTTTAAGGATTAATGTTGCATATGAGGCATACTGGACAAAGTGAACATTATATCAACTTCACTATTTGATGACTGTTGACAGAATTCCTTGGTGGTGATTACAAAAAAAAAAAGATACTGAAAATGTCATAAAACATACTTAAAATGTACACAAGTTCTCTAATTATATACTTGATACACACTTGAAATATATTGAGAAATGTCAAATAATCTTTTTAGTGTATTTTAAGTGTGTCGAAAAGTATGTTTTAGGGATGTTTCAAGTATGACTTAAATATAATTTCATACACACATAATGTACTTAAAAGAGTCTCGTGAAAAGAATAGGGGACAGTTATAAGTGGCTGGTTCTTTCCCCTATCCTTTTCAATATTCACCCACTAAATCTGCTAAAGGGCAGACTTGGGAAGTTGACCCACATGAAAATATGAAAAAGGTCAGGGAAAACCTTGGACAGTTATGGCGCAGAAATGGGACAAAGCAAACTGCCCCTGTTGTTTTCGAGTTTTCCAAGTAAAAAATTGAAAACGTGACAGGTTTTCCATGCCACAACTGTCCCAAGGTTTTCGCTGTCCTTTCTCATATTTTCATGTGGGCCAACTGTCCCAAATCTGTCCTTTTCTAGTGTCCCCTTAAAATTCACTCAAAATATTCTCTATATTTTGAGTACATATTAAGTATCTAACCTTTTATTTTTATATATTATTTTAGTCAATTTTTTGTATCCATTATTCTTGCCAAAGCCCATCACAGAAATGTAAAAATTTGACGGAATTATGTTGTTCGTCAATTCCATTGAATTTATATATAGAAAAAAATCACTACTACAATGTATCAAAAAAAGCAAAAGACCTATCCAAGCTGTACGAAGTTGTTTCCATCATGTTACAACAACTGGCAGCTTCCTTCCCAATGAGAATTCGAAAAGAATCCTAAATATTATCAATTCAGTTTGTTGTAAAGCTCATCACGAGCTGGCTTGCAAGCTGGCTCATGCAGAGCCTTAGCTTGTTGGTAAGTGATTTGTTTTTTAAATTATTATTATTAGTAACAAAATTTTTTTAATAACCTTGATATATTATTTGTCATCGTGTCGTTATAGGTCCAACACTAGGAGTATTTTTGGCAAACTGGGTAGAAAAAATGAGATCAATAATGAAATTAACCCTGTAAAAAATTTACTCCGTGATTAGTCTCGGTGTTTTTTCCGTTATTAAACTCAATATTTTTTCCGTTTATATTAACAAATATACATTTCCGTGTTTTTTCCATAAATGTATCATATTCATGGAATCTATAGTTCCGTTGTTCATTAAAAATGGAAGCTTCACTGTATAAATTAATTAATAAAATGGATAAAACTTGGATAAATGACTGAGCATTTATTGAATGATTAATTAAGTTTAGATAAATTCTTTGAATAAATTTAATTAATAAATAAATTTTCAAGTGGTTTACTAAAGATGGCTCCTCAATTAATTGAGACTAGTTGCAGCACATGAAAATTGAATTGCGGTTGCAGTTATGGCATATGAAAATGTAATCGCAATTCCCATCTTTAAATGTTACTAACATGATAAAATGGTAAATTTTGAAAGATTATGGATTAGTAATGTACATACAGCAACAGGAAATTTTGTATGTGGTACATCGCCCTTGTGATCTGACAGCTTTGAGTTAACACCAGTCTATGTTCTATTTGAAGTTTTCCATATCTGAACAGAATTGTAATTATTAAGACTAGACTAGAAAATTTTTTTAAAATTGAAAATAGAAATCTTACCGCATGTTCCTCTTCTAAAACAATGAAAGAATAATATTAGTGTGACCATATTTTATCTATTATTAAATATTTATTTTTAGAAAATAGGTAGAAAATTCTGCATCAAAAATTCTAGTTGATATATTTTTGTAATAACATTATACTATTAATTATTAATCAATTTTTTTAGATCTGGTGGTGTACAACCAGAAAGAATTGTTACAATCAAATTAGTTATTATTATTATTATATGTGATAACAATTCTTTCTGATTGTACACCACCAGATCTAAAAAAAGTGATTAATAATTAGTAGTATAATTACAAGAATATATCAACTAGAATTTTTGATGTTGAATTTTCTACCTATTTTCTAAAAATAATAAAATATGGCCGGTAACAAATCTTTCTGATCGTACACCATCAGATCTAAAAAAAGTGATTAATAATTGATATGTAGTATAATTGTTATTAAAATATATCAACTAGAATTTTTGATGTTGAATTTTCTACCTATTTTCTAAAAATAATAAAATATGGCCGCGTAACAGTTCTTTCTGATCGTACACCACCAGATCTAAAAAAAAAGATTAATAATTAGTAGTACAATTGTTATTACAAGAATATATCATAAATAAATATGGTCACATAACAATTCTTTCTGATTTCATTTAACCATTAACCTTTGGAAAGAGAAATCATGTAAATACCTT